ATTTTTAAAAATTTTCTCGTTACGAATGAACTTGATAATTTATTGTTTAAAATGTAATAATAATGAGTAGATAATCGTACTTGTCAAAAAAGGGGATAAATATATAATGCGAATAAATATTATGCAAGCATTTTAATTACTAGAAAATTTTTAAAAATTTTCTCGTTACGAATGAACTTGATAATTTATTGTTTAAAATGTAATAATAAGTAGATAATTGTACTTGTCAAAGGGGAGAGGTTGCAAAAGGGGATGAATGAATATAATACGAATAAATATTATGCAAACATTTTAATTATTTGAGATTTTTTAAAAATTTTCTTGTTATGAATGAACTTTGATAATTTATTGTTTAAAATGTAATAATAATAATGAGTAGATAATTGTACTTGTTAAAGGGGGGAGGTTGCATGAAAAGGGGATGAATGAATATAATACGAATAAATATTATGCAAACATTTTAATTATTTGAGATTTTTTAAAAATTTTCTCGTTACGAATGAACTTGATAATTTATTGTTTAAAATGTAATAATAATAATGAGTAGATAATTGTACTTGTTAAAGGGGGGAGGTTGCATGAAAAGGGGATGAATGAATATAATACGAATAAATATTATGCAAACATTTTAATTATTTGAGATTTTTTAAAAATTTTCTCGTTACGAATGAACTTGATAATTTATTGTTTAAAATGTAATAATAATAATGAATAGATAATTGTACTTGTCAAAGGAGAGAGATTGCATGAAAAGAGGATCAATTTATAATATGAATAAATATTATGCAAGCATTTTAATTATTTGAGATTTTTTAAAAATTTTCTTGTTATGAATGAACTTTGATCATTTATTGTTTAAAATTTAATAATAAGAATGAATAGATAATTGTCAAAGGGAGGAGGTTGCACGAAAAGGAGATCAATATATAATACGAATAAATATTATGCAAATATTTTAATTATTTGAAAATATTTTATTTTTTCAGCGCCCAAGAAGAAAGCGTCTGATCATATCCGATCGATTCCACTTAATTCTAACTCCTGTCCTTTGAGATAGAATTTTAAACGATCGAATTATTATTTCTATTATTCTATCCCAGTTGAAGTGACCATCAATGATCTCACGAATCGAAATATTCATTAATTCTTCGTGATATTATTGCAAAAAAGAATTCTGAAACAAAAGAATATTCTGAAAATATTCGACAAATTTCCTTTCTTTATACGTAAACATACATGAAATATTAAAATATAAAAATTTTAATTTGTAAAGCCCAAAGAGTTATCTCGATTGAAATGGCCACCAACGATCTCACAATCGAAATACTCTTAATTCTTTTAATTCTTCGTGCTATGATATTATAGCAAAAAAGAATTCTGAAACAAAAAAATATTCTGAAAATATTCGACAAATTTCCTTTCTTTATACGTAAACATACATGAAACATTAAAATATAAAAGTTTTATACATTAATTATAACAAAAAAGAATTCTGAAACAAAAGAGAATATTCGACAAATTTTCTCTCTTTATACGTAAACATACATGAAACCATAAAACATAAAAGTTTTATACATTAATTTGTGAAGCTCAGAGTTATCCTGGTTGAAGTGGCCACCAATGATCTCACGAATCGAAATATTCTTAATTCTCTTAATTCTTCATGCCGTGATATTATAAAAAAAAAATTTTTTTATTTATTATAAAATTTTTATTATAATTTATTATAATTTTTTATTATAATTTTATTATAATTTTTTTTTATTTATTATAAAGAAAAAGAATTCTGAAACAGAGAAATTATGCGTTCGATTCGAATCGAGGAGAATAAGAACCTGTTGCGAGCATTGATCACAACAGCCATCGAGACAATCTTTGCGTTTATCTATGGCATGGCCAAGCCTGAACAGCTAATATTGGTCTTGGAGCAGGGCCGCCAATAAAAAAGTGATTAAAAGACACTTCCGTTTGCCGCGCCCCTAACACATTACGTAAAACAGGGTATATCGAGAAAATGGTTTAAACGCGATGCGATCGATTCGCGTGGGAGGTGCATCGAATTGAAACGATCGATACAGGATTTGCAACTTAATTTTTCCTCCTCTCAACTCTTTTTTATATCAACGCAAGAAAAGGAGCGGACATCGAATCACTTCTTTATATTATTGTTTCCTCCTTACTTTTCTGGTTTCTTTTTAAGGTTTTCATCTTCAGCCTAAGTGAAATTAATTAACCGGTGGACTCTCAGGATCGATATTTATTTACGTTCGATTTTTTTAAAATATCGCTTCCAATAAAGATTCTCTAATCCTTTTTATGTATATAGAATAATATACTTTCGAATGATTAGATTTTTTTATTTCGAATTAGATCGTGATATCGTGGATCGAGCCATATTTTCGACGTTAGTCGAGTTTGACAGTGATGAGGATAGAAATATTATTTTCAAAGTGTTTTCGAGTTTTGTAAGCATGGAATATAGTAAAATGAAATTAGTTGGAGCGAAGATGAGTTTTTCGTTATTGAATAACGAAATTATTTCTATTGGTTGAGAAATTGAGGATAGAGAGAAGGAATAAAGGGATGAAAATAGAGATGTAACAAGATGAAAAATAAAAATAATAGACAAACATCGCACAAACCAACAATATAAACTTTAATATTCGACAAATTTTCTTTCTTTATACATAAAACATTAAAATATAAAAGTTTTATATATTAATTTGTACGTGAAATCATTTTAAGTCAGCCAATTCAGAAATTCAAGTTATCAATTTGGCCGAATGAAAAAGGCCTGGAGTTCAAAGGGTTAATATTATTTAAATTTGCGAAGCAAAGAAAAGAATTTGAGTTGAGTGAAAATCGAAAGAGGAATATTACGCGTTAATTTATAAATTTCGATTAGTAATCGATCGATCGATTCGAATCGATCCTTGAATAAAACGGTAATAAAATCCTTTTCGATCATGAGCCTGTGCTTCGCCGTGATTAGGGTAATTGCGCATATAGCAGTTATGTTACTAATTAAAAGGAATCATGGGTCTGGCCCATTACCCCGAGCTCATTTCCTAATGGATTCTTTCACGAAATGTTAAAGATTAGATTCCTAACTGAACACTGAAACGCAATACAAGTGGGATTCGCATTATATCGTTGATATTATGTTTAATTCACGGGATTCGATTCTTTCTATTTCCCACAATTACAATTTTTAAAAATACATATTTTTTATCGCTTGATATTTTGACGACGATTTCGTTTAAAAAATTTTTCCCTAAAAAAAAAAAAAAAAAAGGGAAACCTAACTCACACCGAAAAAAAAAAAAAAAAAAAAAAAGGGAAACCTAACTCACACCGAAAAAAAAAAAAAAAAAAAAAAAGGGAAACCTAACTCACACCGAAAAAAAAAAAAAAAAAAAAAAAGGGAAACCTAACTCACACCGAAAAAAAAAAAAAAAAAAAAAAAGGGAAACCTAACTCACACCGAAAAAAAAAAAAAAAAAAAAAAAGGAAAATCTAATCTAGACGAAAGAAAAAAAAGAAAGAAAGAAAAAAAGAAGGAAAGAGAAATCGCAAAATAACGACAATACTTATCGTCATTATTTAGCTATTGAACGGCAAGGCCGTGGAATTAATCGTAGCTTACATAATGGCGGGCAACCGATGACTATCGAGAGCAGGAAGACGAGTCGTGTTTTCTGGTCAACGCTGGAACGATCATGGGAACAGAAATGTTAATTAAGCCGCAGGTTAACCAGGCCCGTTTAACGAGAAAATTGATCGTGATCGTACCGATTATTATCCAGGATAATTATTTCGTCGCGCATTAAGACGCAGTTTGAAACGAAAGGTCAGAATTCATTACCTCTCTCTCTCTCTCTCTCTTTCTCTTTCTCTTTCTCTCTCGGTTTGATTTTATGAATTTTTTTTTTGCGAATTCTTATTCCACCTACCACTCGGTGAATTTTAATTAAAGCTGCACTGAGATGAAAGCGTTTTCGACCCTTTTTTCTTTTCTCCTTTTTTTTTTCTTTTTGCTTACTGAAAATGATTTTTTTCCATGTAATTACTTACTGTGTATTTATATATTTATCATTTGTACATGCGTTTTAATTCTTTCCTCGATCGTTTCGTTTTATCTTTTATATATATATGTTATATATAAATTCGAAATTTCATTCATCGATCATTGTTGTATAATATTTTCGTTTAATCTATTCAGTTTAATATAATCAGATATATGATCGGATATGATTGAACGCCATGGCCTGGAAAAAGTTGAATTCGACAGCTTGTTAAATGCGAGAAGGGAACGTTATCGTTAAGTTGTACTTTAAAAGCTATTTATTATTTATATCTCGAAGATAAGCAATGACGTTGCTTAAAAGTTTCGTGTAGTAGCTTAATAAAAATTGTAACGTAAGTTTTATGTACTTTAACCCGAATATAAAATTCGAATTACTTATTGGATCGTTTGGCTCTTTACACTTCACGGGACACGTTCATTTAAATTTACGATATTTATTCATAACTTTTTTTTAACCAAACTATTGGTTAAAAATTGTATTATTCATTGCATTTGAAATTCTTTAAATGATTAAATGCAAAATAAATTTTAAATTTTAATATATCGTATCTTACAAAAAATATGTAACAAATGTAAAAAGAATGTTGCTGCTGGATGGGTTAAAAATCTTTTTCCTCTTTGTCAACAGTTTCGACGTGGAAAATGGCGCCTCAACGTTGGACGGGGGTGCCGGAGGCGGTGGAGGCGCCTCGCCAAGTGCAGGCTTGGTGTTGCAAACCCTGCCACAGAGGCGAGAGAGCTTCCTGTATCGCAGTGATAGCGACTTCGAGATGTCGCCGAAATCGATGTCTCGAAACAGTTCGATCGCCAGCGAGAGGTAAGAGGCCCTGAAACTATACTTCCATTAAAAGTCGATGTTGACTCGAGAATACTATATTTTTCTATTTTTAT